CAATTTATTTAACCATACAAAGTTAACTCGCCACCAATTCGCCGATTTCCTTTATTTTCAATTTCTGGTCACGTGACCATTATTATACGTTAAGGCGCTATAAGACCTCACGGTTTACATTTTGGGGAAATTTCATCCTGTTCTCGGTATCCTAGCGAGAGTTATTGCCAAGCAACCATATTTTCTGAACACACTTTTGACCCAGGCCTTAAACCCCTTGAGTACAGCGATTGGCAACTCAAAATTTCCACTGTCCTCGGGGAGCTTGTTGCCAAATGAAATCGATCGTGCTATTAATTTTGCGTGTGAGTGTTGACGAAAATCACTGCAGAAGGATTTAATTTGTTTGGCTTCCAGGATGAATCCCATGCAACGCCTTCTTGCTTGTTTGTGTCTGAACGAAATCCGTCGACCAATCACGGTCCTTGAAAGAATGACTTCAGCGATCGTTTAGGTTGCTGTATCCCTGGGTCTTCTCTCCTGCCTCCGCCATATTAAAAAACGAGATGACCCTGGGACGAAGTTGTCAAAACCGTTGATCTTTGGTTTTTGACGTAATGCGCATGACCAGTACAAAAATCTGCTGGCAAGTCCCATTATAATCGCTTTGCAAGAGAAGATCTTTCGGATTTCATTTAAGAGAAATGTATGGGAAGTAGCTTCCACCTCCCCGAGTTTTAAAGTTATCATGGCCAGCTTTTTGGAACTTCTAGGGGAAGACCCCGAGTTGATGTATGTCATCATATTTTGTCGTTGCCGAAATATACAAAAACACCGTACAATTTCGATATTTTAAAACCTTTTACCGCTTTTACAAGTACCAGCTAAGCCTAGCCTAGCAAGCTACAAAAAAACAACAACAACAAAAACAAAACAAAACAAAAAAAAGAAGAAATGCCCTCAAAGTCATTCCGGAATATATTCAAAACTGGTTTCAAAACTATCCTGTGTCACTTAAAACTCTCATAAAATATCTAAAAATCCTATGATATTTAATAAAAATTTGTAACGTGTGATGTAAAATTCGTACGGGCTCTGACAGGCCTTCAGCTGAGCACGCCGTCTTTAACTCATCGACAGACGTGCAAGGAATGATGTATGCACGACGCTGACCGATACTGAAGGGGACATCAAAACAACAAACAATTAAACAAAGAAAAAAACAAAATAAAAACAAAATTTTCAGGATAACATTTTTCGAAACTTTTTCCGAAGTTGCAAGCTCTTTGTAACAAACAAACAAACAAACAGCAAATTTTGAGAGTATTCACCAAAATCAAAGTCAAATCATTGGAATATCCTGTAGTTGTCTAAAAATACCGAAAAAAATAATATTCCAGATTTTTGCAGCAGGGACTAGTTAGCCATCAACACAGGAATAAGCCAATCACAAAGCAGCTACACAGCAGCCTGGGAACAAGGATCATGACTGGCTGGTTATAAGGTTCTGGCTGAACCATACCCTTCAAAGCGTCAAGAGAGAGAGCTTGCTCGCAGACCAATCTTTATCCTGAATCAAGTAAACATTTGTTGGTGGTTATTAACATTGCGATAGCCGGGTGACATTTTCAAAACCGTAAGTCAGGTTTCGTCATTTGAGTATCCATTGTCTTTAAATCTAGTCAAATTAAATTAAATAGCATCCAATATGAGTTATTATAGAGACCTTTAGATTCTGATACGAGGATGACCGACAATAAATAAATAAATAAATAAATAAACAAATAAGATGTCTTTATTTCGCCCGTTAAAATACATATCAAACGTTACAGAGAGTGAAGCACACAAACCATGAAAATCGGGCAGATCAAGAATTATCATTATAAAACCTGATAAAACATTGGATATCTTTATTGTAAAATTGCTAAATTGTCTTTAAACCTTATTCTATTTAAGTAACAATTCTTAAAACATTACGTATTAATCCTTGGTAATGGACTTGCTTGTGACCAACAAGGATGAGATTTCTCAGTATTTATTGTGTAGTGCTTGAGCTTGAATCACGGTCATTTTGGCGTGATCATGGGTTTTAGCGAAAATGTTGTAGTGGCAGAAGCAAGCCATCAAATACTGCGGTATTAGAAGTTATATCATTTAAAAATAACCGTGCTCACCTCTCTGGTGAAAAAGAGTAGAATGGAGCTTCCGGGGTGTCTATTTTTTGAGAACAAGCAAAAAATCTTCAAGTTAAAATCTCGACCTCGAGGTCAACCTCGAATCTTAAGGTCTCTATTAAATTCAATACATATCTACGTACGAACTTCCGGTTACTCTTACGAATTTTTTTTCCAAAATCGGGTACTTTTCTTGGATGAATTTTCGAAATTCTAAAAATAACTTATCAAGGTATACGAATGGTTTAGTTTTGACGAAGGCAGGCGAGTACGGTGAGTTTTTCTATTTGCGTGAATTGGTTTGCAATTTGTGGCAAGTCATGTCGTCAGTAGTGAAACCGTATAACACGTCAGAAGATATACGTCAAAAAACTTGACTTCCCCAGGATTGACAACAAGAAATCATGCAACAGTTATCTTTTACAATGAGTTAATTTTTGGTTTTTAGGGCTGTTTACGAGAAGGGCAGTAACCCTAGTTGCGTTTTTACCCTTAAGTAAGAGGGTCAAATGAAACAGGTTAAATTTACAAATTTACCCCATCACCCGTAAATTCAAGTTTCCATGCTTGACTAACGCCGTGTTTCGGTCAGAGATGTTAACAGTTATAGATCTTTCTAGAAACACGTATTAAGTGACAAATCAACGACAAAATAAGTTCTAATCATCGTGCAGATGATGTGTAAAATTTCCCTCCAAAATTTGGAACTTTCAAATTCTTAAGCCAAAGACGGAGCAATTAGCCAAAAACTAGGGTAGGCGAGATATTCCGTAAAAAGCATTTGCAAGGCAGGTAGAGAAAAACTGGTAGGGTCAGTACTCGGCGACAGGGTATAACCCTTTAAATAACAATTATTCACCGAAGTGGAGGTGGCTAGTGGTGAATATTTGTAACTGAGGGAGAGTGAGATAGATAACAGTGAGATAATGTATCGGTCAAATCGAAGCTTCAACATGCCCTCCCCCCGGGCGTACCCCGGGCATTTGACACCTTTGCCGTCCCGGGAAGGAGGGAATTTGATTATCAGAGTCTTCCAGTGGGTGGGGAATTTGAACTGCACCCTCGACCTCATGTAAATCTTTGGCGTTCCGAGCTATGGGGGACGCGGTGTTAGAGGATTTTCGTGGAAAAGAATGTGCCTTTGTGGCCAATTGGTTACGAGGAAAGGGCTTAAACAAGCTTTGTGGCTTATTTGAAGTATTTAAATTTTAAAATTTTTAATATTGGATTCAGGCTTTGAAGGTATGAATGTATTTTACTGTTGTGTTTACAATGAAACACAATACCTATACCGGCGATTCAATACAGCAACATAAAACAAAATAAAAAGCTCAGGTCAACTACTTTGACCTACTGGAAGTATGTTAATTAATAAGGTGAGCGATGATGCATGTCAGTGAAATGGTCATGATGTAGTAATCTCAATAGGTGGGATCTTTGTATGTTGCATGACGAAGAAAAGCTGAGCATTCAATGACCTTGTAGTAGCGAATTTCCGCCGCTTTGCACGAGACTTTTGTAGAAGGCCTAAATGCAATAAACGGTCCTAAATGTATTAAAGTCCTAAATGTAATAACAGTTTGTCCTAAATGTAATAACAATTTGCCCTAAATGTAATAAACTCTTAAGCTGCCAATTACAGTAATTACTCGAATAAGCCCCGCATTTAGGGGGTGGGGAGTTAATTAGCGCCGCGGAGCTTATTCGAGTAAATACGGTACTAAGCGGTATTGCTATGGTATTAAGCTCCGCTCTCAAATAAGCGCCGCATTTTTGGAGAAAAAAGTTAATAAGCGCGGCGCTAATTCGCGTAAATTCGGTACATTTCCTTATGCACTGTGAAACTTAACGTTTACAAATAAATTGCTTGTAAACGGCAAAGTAACAGTATTTTTCTAAAAAAAGCAATATTTAAGCAATAGAAAACTTTTTTCCTGTGTTTGAATAGCCTGATATAAACACTCGAGGGGTTGGGAGAATTCGAGACAGTTATGCAAACCTGAGACGACACTCTTTTAGTGCTGCCATCGATTACAATTCTGGCGTGCAAATGACCGAAGTTTTACCGCCGTCACGTCTTGGCGACAAATAAAACTTTTCAAAGCATTTTTCTTAGCCCTTGTGGGTACATTTCTTCAAACGAAGTTGTGAATTTTTCCTGTATTTGAAACCATTCTGTACAAAATCCATTTAACTTACTTTTGGGCTTGTTTATGAACATGTCAGCTAAATAAAGTAACGCAGGACTTAAGTTGCGTTTGTAAACAAAAAAAAAATTCACCTCATTTCGTCGCCCTCTTCGTGAACAGCTTCTTTCATATTTTGTGAAATTTTATAACGGCAGCAAACTGGGAAGCCATTTTACTTGTAACTTACGCGATTTGGCGTCGCTCGGAGGTGAATAGCACTGGATATCACGGGTAAAGCAGCCAATCATCATGATCAGAGCGCGCGAAAACGCTTTCCACTGTTATAATCTGTCTTGTAAATACTGTACGTCGCGTCATCACTCCTTCGGGAGGTTGAGGAAATTCCAAAAAAAAAGAAAAAAACGCGTGCGGGTAACGACGGGAATGAATATAGATCTTTTTTTCCCTTTACTGAAAGAGAGGCGCCCGCACTTCTCTCTCCCCATCGTTCCCTGCGCGTTCACAACTTCTTTTTATTTCTTCTATTTTACAGTAAAATAACCAACGAAACGAACAAATACACGCATGAAAAAACGGACCCTTACATCGAAACTACTTAGCATCTTTACTCCCGCTCGTTGGATTGCCCCACAATTTCAATGCAATTGATATATTATTATATTTTAACTTTATCACTTATCACTGTTTCAGACTAACAAATATGGGCGATTCCTTGAACAACAGCGAAGCAGCAGGCTACAAGGAAGCTTCAAAGTCAGCTCAAAAAGTGGACGGTAAGGACTTCATCCAAACAGACGTTCGCCCAAAAGCTGGAGACGTCATCTTGGATTTAGGCTGCGGTACAGGAGAGCTATCTGCATGCCTCGCTGAGTTGGTAGGACCCGAAGGGAAGGTTATTGGTGTCGATCCTGACAAGGAACGAATTCAGTTGGCCATGGAGACTCAAATAGAGAATCTCTCGTTTGTAGAAGGAAGTGCCTCAAGCTTTCCGGGGATTGGCTCGGGTTCTTACGACATTATTTTCAGTAATTTCGCCCTTCACTGGATGACTAACAAACAACAAGTCTTCAACAACATGTTTGAAAGTCTTAAGGCTGGAGGTAAAATATCCTTTCAGTACGTCTTTTGCCTGCCCCCATTTGTGTTTAACGCCTACAAGGAGATGAATCCCGAAAACGCGGAGCGTATTAGCCAGAAGTTTCAGTGCGAATCGAAAAGTACGATCGACAAGTATTGTAAATCAGCAGGATTTAACATTACCAAGAGTTTTGAGAATTACAGCAAAGGTCTGGTGTTTGGAAACGTCGAGCGCCTTTTAAAATGGCACTGGTCAACCACTCATGGTTTGTTTGATCTCTCTCTGGTCACTGAGGAACGTTTGCAAAAGTATCTTGCTGCATACCGTCGAAATGACGGGACACTTTGTCTTGACTTTAGAGAAAAAGAGGACGAATTGCATATGTGCCGATTAATAGCTTTCAAGCAGTAGGGTGAGGTCGGGAGTTCCAGTCTTCCAGTCAGCTGCACCTTATCTCAGGAATGCATTACCTTCGGCAATTCGCAACATAAAGACATTGGACACTTTTAAGACTGCTGTTAAAACTCATTTTTTAAATTTGGCTTTTAAACAGATCTCATTGTTGGCTTTTATTGTAGATTTTAATGGTTTTTAATACCTTTTATTGTAGTTTTCAATAGTTTCTTGCCCTTTAATTTAGTCACCTTTAACATAAATTAAATATAACAATATTGTAAAGCGCAACCGAATATATTCATATAGAGGTTTGCGCTATGTAAATGTAAATTATTATTATTATTATTATTATTATTATTGTCGCTATTATCACAGTCTTTGCTGGTGCTCTTTTTGTGCATCAGCTGGGCGAAAACCATGCACCTAGAGCGTCAGTCACTCAAGTCAATCATTCTGTTCATACACTGAGCACCTTTCTGAGGATTCGTGCAGATCCCAGCATGCAGATCTTTTGAATCTTTGTCATATTAGCTCTCTCTGATACTTTCTTGATGTTTTCTACGATACCCTTCTTCACTGTACCAAGCGCACCAACAACCACAGGGATCACTACGGTTTTCATATGCCACATTCTCTGTATTTCTAGTTCTAGGTCTTTGTACTTGCATTTTTTTTCAGTTTCCTTCACCACCAACAACCACAGGGATCACTACGGTTTTCATATGCCACATTCTCTGTATTTCTAGTTCTAGGTCTTTGTACTTGCATTTTTTTTCAGTTTCTTCAGTGCGATGTTTCCATCTGATGGAACAGTCATATCAATGACTTTGCAGGTGGAATTCACTGAATCTTTAACGATGATATCTGGTCTGTTCGCTGTTACAGTTCTATCAGTATTGACTGGCATGTCCCACATGATGGTGATGTTGTTATCTTTATTGTGTATCACGGTCTCTGGTTAGTGTTCGTACCATTTGTCTGTAATCTCTATATCATGATCTTTACATATGCTCCAATGAAGATATGCTGCAGCATTATTGTGCCTGGAGATGTACTCTGTTTTGGCTAATACCTCACATCCAGATACAATATGGTTTATTATTATTATTATTATTATTGACTGTGATTGTTTGAGACTGGTTGTCCATTAAAAATTTTCGTTGGGTAATCCAAGTAATTTTACTCTAATTAGTTTTTCCTGTAAACTCGTAAACAACTTTGAGTTAATGTTTTGAAAAGGCGGAACAAATAAGTATTGTATTATTACATGAAGACTTTGAACGACAACTTGTGTAATATACGGTTGACCAGTTTTACTTTTTCAAGTAACGATAGTGTGTGTCGGAAATTTCTCGTTATACATACCGATTCTTTGTAATTTTTATATCTCCCTTACTATTTTGTATCTTTGGACACTAACTGGACTTTAGTGAATTTTGGAATTAAAGCTGATTTTATGATTACGCAACAACCTTGAAGGAAAATATGATAATTTTCCTTACAACCAATCGGATTTTTACTTGTGTAAGATTAAATACTAACTGATTAAGATTAACAGCTGTCAAGTCCAGTGAGGATAAAAGGAGCTACAACAGGCTTTTGTTCATAGAGAGATAGAACAAGCTAGTATGAGATTAAGTTGTCCTTTTAACATTGGAGTTAGGTGAATACAGAATTTACTGAATTGATCCAAATGAGAACGAGCTGGTGTCTTCCTTATGTAGCCGACCCCCGTCGCGGTTGTGCTATTACAACATGGTCAAAAAATCTATCACTGAAACAATCAAAATCTTTATTGCACTTCTTATTCTTGAGATAGCAGTAAGGTTTTTATGTTCACTAAGAAAGCTCAGAGAAATCGAAATCAGAACAAGTGTTTGGGCGAATTAAGTCTTACTAGTAATTTTGGATTCAATTTTAATAAAAGCGTACTTGATCATATCCTCCTCTATGCTGATTTGCGCCATATAATCCTGATATTAATTATTATTATTATTATTATCATTATTATTATTATTATTATTATTTTGATAATGATGATGATGATGATCATAACAGTGAAAGCCCGAGGAAGGACAACGCAAGTTCGTTCCAAGCTACGAAATTAAGCTGGTACAACCATTTCAGTAATTTATTATAACGGCATTGTGAGTTTTGATTTATTACAAGCACTTTTATATTAGAGACCTTCAGGTTTTAAGACGAGGACGACTATGACTACAAGATTTACTCGCCTCAGTACTAAGTAGTGCGCGTGCGTGAATAGCCGTCTTCATTCCTACTACGGGTTTTTGCTAGAATGTCGCAGTGGCAACAACAAATTATCAAATGTTAGACGTTTTATCATTGTGCTCGGGAGAGGGCTCAACTTCCTTCAGGAAAAATAACTGTGCCCACTTTTCGGTGAAAAAAAAAGTACAGAGAAAAATGGCCATAAATCGACCAGCGGACCACATAGGAAAGACGTAACACACATTTTAAGGAAAGTAAGCCGTTTTTTGAAATTGAAATCCTTTCATATTCGTAAGTTACAGAAACGATAGGTTTTTCCTCATACGAATCCTTATATTTCGAATGTTACGCAACAATGCCGATGCTCATATTTCGAACTTGGGCTACCTGTGGTTTCAAGAGGTAGCTGAACCCAGTATTCACAGGCTAGTATCAGCCTACCGCTGCCGAGTTTAATAAGAGAGAATTATTGGCTTACATATCCACCAAACAGCTAGGATAATGAAAGTACTGTTAAGTGCCATGTGAGGCAAGCAGCTTTTGACGGACTGTAAGATTTGCAAGACACTATGGAAACATTCTAAGCGAATACTGCTTAGGTGGTAGGTACTGATAAGGTTTTGTTTTACCAAGAGAAGCTCACTATAGCTCTCAGCCCTCACGATCTCGCTCGTGGAATTCGTAATAATGCATTGACGACTTTTCTGTTCTCGTTCAAGCGTCGCCTGGAGAGAATAATTCTCTCTTGTTCTCGCTTAATCTGAAATGATCTTGTATTTTCTTGCATCAGATAGGCCAAGCTCAATGAATCTATTGACCTTTGTAACCTAATCCCTGAGCATCGTAATGACATTTCGCCATAACGAATATGGGGTCTTGTATAGGAAAAAAATGTGTGATTTTATAATATGCTGTAAATAGAGCTTTTAACGGTTTTTTTTCCAACTTTTGACATGGACACGCTAGGGAAAACCCTTCGACACTACTGGAAAGACTGCCTTAATATTAGTAAAATTGCCAAATTTTTAAGTGACTTGTTGAAAACTAACGAGGATACACCCTCTCAAAGTCACGAAATTTTACGGACGTTTGTATGGTGGGGGCACAAACTTGTCCCCCACCATACAAGCGTCTGTAAATTTTCGCAACTTTGCGGAGCTGTATCTTCCTAACTTGTCCATGACAAAAGTTGAAAAAACCATGAAAAGATCTATTTGTGTGTCTTTTTGTATTTTTTATCGGTTTCGGGTCGATTTGGGGCCATTTCATGACGTTTCATTCCAACGGCTGTTACGCATTGGGCCCCTTGATTTGAGCCTGAATCCCACCAACGATTCAACAACAACAACATTAACTTTATTCGGGGGAAGGTAACTCTATTGTTTTCCACGTAAGTTTCTTGACTCATTCCGCCTGCCAGTATGACGTCACATAGTAACGGGCAAGAACCTCGGGTCGCTTGTGCAAATTATTAAGGGATACGACAGTTATTTGGATGAGCGACGTCGAGGAAAATCTAAGAAGCTAGCAAATATCACTATATATCGCTTATTTTATCGAATATGTGTGAGCTTTGGTGTTGCTATAATCTGCTTGTGCAAACCGTTTTGATATTTTGTGTCCGTGATTGTATAATTTTGTTAATTTGTTTTGCGGGCCGTGTTGCGGGATCGCCATCTATTTCACGGGACCGGCAAGGTCATCAAAACTTAAATCTTTTTTTTTTTTTTTTTTTTCTGTAGAATTGGAGGTTCCATTCACAGATCGCATGTTTTTTATTTCATCTCTTGTTTTGCTAATAAAACGGGCCTAACTTCATATCATTCCTTTCGAGTGTGGGCCTCTGTTGATTAACCTGAGATCAGGCTCTATTTTCGTTTGGCTTTGAAAATTGCATTCCGGCGGGCAAGACAACCGTTAGAGAGAATGTATGAGAACCGCTCAAATTGGGCCTGATCTCAGGTTACTGTTGATCTTCTACTTCTCCACCAAATTCAGTAAAGCTTGTACGATCGATTATCTACATCGAGTGGGCCCGCGTAACCCGAAATAACGCGAAATAGCTCTGAAATACGCGCTTAAGCTAATTTTCCTCAAATGCTGTATATTGGAATTCATGATAAATACAGCTCCACCAGCTTCAAACAGCGTCTATGGCAGTGAAAAATTGTTTTGATATGACAAAATTTATTTCTCAAATCATGCATGTCACTGTGGTGCAGTGGTCAAGGAGTTGCTTGAACGTGCAGATAAACTGGGTTCGACTCCCGGCGACGCTGTTTTCTGTTTCTTTGTACCGGTTTTTTTCCCTCTTTGGTCTCTTTTTTTAACACTAATTTTACTAAAAGCTTAAATAATTATATATGTTGAACCAAGTGCATGACCAGCAGGTTCAGCAGTAAGAATAAAGAAAAAAAGGCCAAAAGGAAGAATAGTGTAAAAAAAAAAAAAAAAAAAAAAAAAAAAATCGGTACAAAGAAACAGAAAACAGCGTCGCTGGGAGTCAACCCGGTTTGCCTGCACGCGCAAGCAACTGCTTGACCACTGCACCACAGTGACACACATGATTAGAAAAATTAAAAGTCTGGAGTTTTATTTTGGAAAGGGAATTCAAAAGCTCTTGATCTGCATACTGGCCAAGCCTGCGACCAGAAAAAAACCATAGGCTGTCAAGACATGTCCCGCCTCTGAAACAGCTAACTTTTAGTTGACATCATGACAAACAACACAGTACACCAGTGACCCACTGGCGAGATTTCAACTTTGCCTTTTGTTCATCTTCTTAATCATCAATATTATTACCCTAAAATCTCCACTGGGTTTGCCAAAAAAAACAACCTTTTATTGGTTTTCGGGATTTAATTACAGAATTGCAGGTGTATGCCCAATACAGTATTAAAATGCGGTGAAGCAACAAGATTCAGTGCTCACATTCTCTCACAAATACCTGTCATTTAGCTTCCTCTTTCAACGCTACAGCGAAGCGAACTTTGAGAGGAATGATATGGGGTTCCATTAGCTCTGAAGAGCTGAAAATACGCACAATGTAAAGTATAATACTGCCTTTGATGAACCTCCTATTGCTGTGTACTGGCCCTCAAAAGTGTGACCGGTCGGTATGATTGCCCGTAAAATTTGCTCGACGATAGAAAGGAATCTTTAAAATTCATTACACCACCGGACATTTCATTCCAAACAAGTACTTAAGTCTAGTTTTCTATGACAATAGAAACCTTAAAATCTCCAAATCCAAGAATTTCCGTGATAAAATCGAAATGTTTATCCGTCTCTTCGATTAACACTTTGCTCGCCATTTTGAAAGTCACTGACGCGAGACGTGACGTCATACTGGCAGGCGGACTGTACCACAGATTTCCTTGGAGACCCCTCCCCCTCCTGACTTTATTATATTGAACAGACATAATTACACCAATATGGGGAATCTAGGAAACGGGCTTTTACAAGATTCCCCTATTGTTTACTATTATTATTATTTTATAATTATTATTATTATTTTTTATCAGGTCTGGACGCCATATGCAGCATAATCTAACTATAAATCTAACTATAAATTAATTTCAATTTATAAACTTGCACACCACTAAGCATTCTCTGAACACTGTTGTGACAACAGATACTTTTTTAATTTCTTTTTTTTACCATATTGTGATTTTGTGTTCTTTAAATCTTCTGGTATAGAGTTCCACAAATTCGCTCTTTACATTGTATTGAATAATAGCCGTAGTTTGTTCTGTAAAACTGCTGATGTAAATTATTGGAATCGGGAAGACAGGTTTCAGAGAAAAGGAATCTATACTGAGTGCCAGAGACTTTTCTAGCGCGGTTTCCGGTTCCTGTCAAATCTTTATAGCGACCCGCGCGAAAAGCGACAGTTTTCCTTGCGGCTTCGGCCAACACCGAAAATTCCCGCCGCACTTTAGAAAAACTTCTGGTAACCAGAGTAAAAGGAATCCGGAAAACGGGTTAGAACTCAAGCCCTGTCTTAGATAACCTTACATTTGGCGAATTAAGACCTAAGCCGAACGCCGAACTTTTCATGAGACGAATCGAAGGCTAAAACACCACACGGGTACATGCTGGTAACAAAAGGGTAACATACGAGTAACAAACAAGTAACACACGGATACATACGGTTACATGCGAGTACCTAGGAATAACATATGGACAACATACGGGTAACATTTTTAGTCGTTATCGACCTCGAAATTGAAAGCTGTATACTGTTGTGAGTAAATAGCTGCGGGAACATAATTCGGTCAAGTGACTAAGTACCTTGAGGAGTTTGTACATTGGCTTTGGGGCTCGATCGCAGACCATGTTAACCTGACATCCTCCCCACCAACTCCGGCAAGTATTGAAAGTGATCATGAACGTTTTCTTGGCTTTTCACGATGGCATGAGCCAGTCACGCCTAAAAACGAAAAGTCGCACTACTGTGGACTCCTGCTGTGGGCAAATGACATAAAGTTACATTTTAAGAAACTGTTAAAAACTGTTATAAATGAATATTTTAATGGTTTGCTTAAGTTACATTTTTCAAAATTTCTAAAACTGAAAGACATTCGTGTGTATCCGTATGTTACCCGTATAATACTCGTATGCCTCCGTATGTTAGTTGTATGTATGTGTGTTACCCGTGTGTTACTCGTGTGTATCCGGAGACGATCGTCACACGTTTTATCCGTCTGAAGCAGACAGATAGAGCGTGTTGGACGATCCAAACTCATTCAGACGAATTTAATTCAGCTAGACGTCGAACGTTTCATGGATCGATTAAACTCACTAAGTTTTGTTCGTCTCATAAAAAGTTCGACGTTTGGCCTAGGCCTATGCCATCTCGCGATGTTTAACCACTAAAATTTATTTTCCAGGATGTGGTTCGATCAATTTACGACTTCAAATAAATCATACGGCAAAACAACTTATACAGTATAAATGGCAGAATCCTTCGGTAGCAGTGCAGCTGAGAGTTACAAACAAGCCTCGTTTTCCGCGCAAAAAAGGATCGGTGAGGATTTCATCCAAAGAGATGTTTGTCCTCAAGTCGGGGATGTAATCTTGGATTTAGGCTGCGGTACAGGAGAGCTGTCTGCATACCTCGCTGAGTTGGTAGGAGCCGAAGGAAAGGTCATTGCTGTAGATCCTGACAAGGAACGAATTCAGCTGGCCCGGCAATCGCATGGTTATATGAAAAATTTATCATTTGCAGAGGGAAGCTCCACAAACTTTCTCAGAATGGGTTCAAATGCATACGACATTGTTTTCTGCAATTTTGCTCTTCACTGGATGCCCGAAAAACAACAAGTCTTCAACGACATGTTTTCAAGTCTTAAAGTTGGTGGGAAGATAGCCTTATACTACAATGACCATATACCCACGTTTATGATGGATGCGTTCAAAGAACTCAATCTTGAAAAGGTAGAGAGCATCTCCCAGATGTATCATATGGAACCGAAATGCAGGATCGAGCAGTATTGTTTATCCGCAGGCTTCAAAATTATGAAGAGTTACGAGTCTTACAGCGGACAATTTGCCTTCGAAACCGACGAAAGCTTTCTGAATTGGCTTTGGTCGACAACGCACGGGGTGTTTGATCTATCGCTTGTAACGGAGGAGCGTTTGCAAAGGTATTCAGCATTGTGTGGATCCAAAAACAATGTCAGCAGCTCTCAACAGCCAAAATTCCAGTCTGGCAAAACTCCATTGTGCCGTCTGATAGCTGTAAAGCAGAGTTAAATAGTGCGCCGAGTATTCGTTCTACAGTAGCATATCAATACTATTTGCTTTGTATTCCTTTTCCACGGGTACAGAACCGCAGAACCGCACAGGGGCTGGGAAAGGGAGAGGGGGAAAACGTGCGGGGAACAGCTGCTACGGTCAAACGGGCAACGAAAACGTGCAACTTGTTTTGCATTGCTGCAAAAAGAGTTGAAAAGCGAAGTTGCGCATGTTACCATCCAGGAATCAAACCTGTCTCGCAACATATCAGGTCGCGCGAATACTGACCCACGTCATACACAGGGGTCGCGTCACTTGCTGCAAAACAAGTTTGCCTTGGGCCGGTAAAACTCACAACATGTGCGCACTGTTGCAAAACAAGGAGCTACTGTCTAATTTTTGCCAGAACTTTTCGCAACTTGAAACAAACTCATTTGTTGCAAGACAGGTTTGATTCTTGGGTGGTAACATGGGCAACATCGCTTTTTAATTTACTTTGCAACAGTGAAGCAAAACAAGTTCCACGTTTTTGTTGCCTGTTTCACCGTACTTTTACAACGGAAATCACAACACTGTTAGCAATAAAAATAAATAAATAAATAAATATAAATAAATAAATAAATAAAAAGCGATTGTTTGCATTCACATTTTCAAACAGCCCGTGTGACCATTTCGAGCGCCCCTTTTGATCATGTGTCTTCCCCGAACAACAGAAGTAAAATATTATCTTTGATATTCAGACACAAGAAACGGTGTAGGAACTGTCAAGATCACGAAAAAATGAAGTCTCTTTCAAAGCAGAAGCTAAAAGAACAACTACAAAGAACAAGACAAACCGAAAGAAACAAAGAAAGTCGAACTCTTGGCTTAGAGGCTACGGGAAAATTGTGTAGACACGGAGGGATTATTTTATTATTCCTCGTACTAGAACGGAGAAAACGGATCTGTAATGGTCAGTCAAAGGATCAATTTTCAAAGCAGAAGCTTCAAGGCAGAAGCTAAAAGAACAACTACAAAGAACAAGACAAACCGAAAGAAACAAAGAAAGTCAAACTCTTGGCTTAGAGGCTACAGGAAAATTGTGTAGACACGGAGGGATTATTTTATTATTCCTTGTACTAGAACGGAGAAAACGGATTTGTAATAGTCAGTCAAAGGATTAATTTTCATTCCTTTTCCTTTCAAATCGCTGAGTATTTGACTCTTTTTGTTATTGGTTTTTAATAAAGGTTTTAAAACGGTATCTCTCTTGTGGGTTTATTGCTAGCAATTATTAGTGGCGTGTTTTAATTGATCCTTGTTAAGTTATTTAAAATTGTTTATATAATAATACATCATGGTGCTCCCTTGGGTCTAGCCATAGAGATGAACCAATTTGTATTCAACTTTGGGCTTGTGAACTCGCATAATTAACTGACTAACGGCGTGTGAATTGACAAGACCATAAGCTTATCAAGCGCTGAGACTTCAATAGTTAGTCGTTTCTCCGAGATAGAATGGAGAAAACGCTTTTGTAACGGGGAGTCAAAATTGAAATAGAGAGTTTTCAGCTCCACTTTGTGCATGTGTGTGTTTTGTTTATATATCCGATTTTTAGCGCCAAACAAGAAGACATGTGTTGCTAGGCGATCGCACCTCTTATTCCTATTTTTTTTTTTTAATAGACGTTCTACTCATTAGGAACAAGAATGGAGTTTATTTAAGAACCAAAAGAGTTAGGGTTTTCTTTAGAAACACCTATTGTTTTCTATAGAATGTTTATACCCTATGCAATACTTTCTACGGAGTTCAGTAAACAAAGACTGACATTTTTGCTTGATAGGCAGTTTTTCGCTTCGATGCGCTTAGACCTCGTTTTCATGTTTTGCCCGAAAAGTTAGTACGATTTCGCATTCGCCTAACCTCCTTTTTCTTTCTTTTGAAGTAACGATTTTACAGTTGACCTCTGTGCCTTGGTTTTGTTTATAATCGATTTTTAGTGAAAATAATTTAATGATTAAAGATTTTTCATTTTGTATAATCTGCAGAGATTACACGTTCAAAATTTGCAGTTAGAAGACTATAGCAAATAGCTGATTATATCAAAAAAGCACTTTTCTATTTATAGATTATGATCTCAACATTTTTTGATGACGTCAACCAGGGTATTCTGACGTCACTTTCTCCTTTCTTAGCTTAAAATAAACTATGACATCATCCTATCTTAATGGAATGCATGACGTTATCGGCATTAATTTAAACTATGACATCATCCCATCTTAATGAATGCATGACGTCATCTGCATTAATTTATACCACTCAAAAAGTTAATTAAATCCACAAAAAAGGACAATTTCGTCCCTCCCCTACTACTGGTATACAGTATTACTAGGGTAAAGATTTGTATACAAGATATATAGGGGTATATAAGGTATACAGTATTTCTAGGGTAAACATGAGTACACAGGATATATAGGGGTATACAAGGGTATACTTGTTATGCTGGTATTATAACCTATTGCACTAATATATTAGGGAGTCTATATGGAGACTGCCATGAATTACTTGCCGCCCCTTGGGAACGTTCGAGTCTTGCTAGTCTGTTTTACTGGGATAGCATTTTCTTCCTTAGAAACATGGCCCGTAAGTGAGTTGAAAGTCGCATCCGGTAAACCAGAACGCAAACATTGCAGTATACGAATCTCACAGGAACAGGAGGAAAAGGAGAATAGCAAAACGTCCAGACCCGTCAAACAACTGCCGCCTAGGAGGGCTCCAGTTCGTTCTTCTTTCTCCTGGAATAAACACACGAGGGACGACTTTGCCGCCATGTTGAATTTACTCTATGTCACGTGGTCTGCTATCGACCAATCAGACATTTTTCGCCAGTGAATTCCCACTACGGGTTTGTGCTAGAATGTCGTAGTGGCAGAAACAAATTATCAAATGTTAGAAGTTTTATCATTGTGCTCAGGAGAGGGCTTAACCTCCTTCAGGAAAAATAACTATGCCCACGTTTCGGCGTCACACACTTTTTAAGCTAAGGAAGTTAAGCCGTTTTTAATTGAAACCCTTTCATATTCGTAGGTTACAGAAACGATAGGTTTTTCCGCATACGAATCCTTATATTTCGAATGTTAGGCAACAATGCCGATGCTCATATTTCGAACTTGGGCTACCTGTGGGTTCAAGAGGTAGCTGAACCCAGTCTTCAGAGGCTAATATCAGCCTACCGTTACCGAGTTTAAGAAGAGAGAATTATTGGCTTACATATCCACCAAACAGCTAGGATAAATATATAGATTTAGCCAGGGCTAAAAGCGAAGCTTCCATTAATAAATTTAAAATTTAAATGAAACAATAATCTTGTATTCCAACATGTGACTTTTGAGGGAAAGGCTAAGTGATTTTAGAGAAAAACTATTTACAAACACTCCAAGAGTGAATCAAATCTTACATCGAGTTGATAGCCTTATATGCACACACAAAAAAATAGCAATAATCTTCGATCACATTTAAGAGACATAATGGCTCTTGATCACAGTAGATGAGGCCCAGAAAACAAATTCTTGGAAAACAACTCAGGCCGAATTTTTTGCGTTCGACAAGTTTACTTGCCAACAAATCTGGGGGCATGTAAACCAACCTTTTACACTTTTTATATACAGTACTTTGAGGCACTGTTTTTATCATACAGACCTCGGACAGAATGCAGTATTTCAGAATTTTACAATACAAATTTCATTCTAGCTAGTAACTTGACAGTGGATAACTTCAAAAAATACTCAAACTCGACGGGTCAGCACCTGAGCCCCCGATAAGGTCAGGTGATACTGGTCAGAGGATACCCTGTTCTGACAGCTGTCAATTAATCACAACATTGATGTGGAATATGTGTGCAATATCATTTTTCATGTGCTCCCAAACTAGCTAGAAAATGCGAGATTAAACATTGGTTTCCCTGTGGTGTAAACGTACTGGCGGGCATCGGGCGGTATACGGTCACGTGATTATCAAATTTTCTGGGATGGGTAGATATATTTAGCCATGGGGCTCTGCTCGCGCGCGCTTCGCGCGCGTGGAGCTCCGCTATGAAGTACTGTTAAGTGCCATGTGATGGAAGCAGCTTTTGACTGACTGTGAGATTTCCAAGACACCAGGGAATTTTTCTAAGTGAGTACTGCTTAATAGGTGGTAAGTACTAATGAGTTTTGTTTTACTAAGAGAAGTACACCATACCTCTCACCCGTGACTTCGTGGAAGTCTTAATAATAGATGGATGATTTCTCGTTCTCGCTCAAGCGTCGCCAAGAGAGAATAGTTCTCTCGTGTTCTTGCCTAATCTGAAATGATCTCATATTTTCTTGCATCAGATAGACGCTTTTTTAATTTGCCATCACAGAAAATTGTCTTCCGCTTGCTTATAAACCAGCTACCTACAACAGCCACGAAGATCAGACAGCGCTTGCACCATCTCTTGTATCGAAATGCAATTTATACTTTCATGTTCAAGTGATGTAGAGCGTTCCGATATCACTGCAGATATTCATAAGTTTATATAGCTTGCTATATAAGCATATCGACACTTTTCTGTAATAATATGACATCCCATAGGTAGTTTCCGAGTCCATCTTTTAAGATCAAAACACTACCCAGAGTGATTTTTATCATACTAAAAATCGGGTGACATATTCTAGTCATTCCTGTCCAGTATCAGTAGTATTTCCGGACTGAAAGCGCTACATAAACCTCAAGTAGGCCAAGCTCAATAAATCTTTTGGCCTTTGTAACGTAATCCCTAACGAAAATGTAAGTTGTATGGGGGTCTTGTATTGGGAAAAAATATGCGATTCTATAATATGGGGTAAATTTGTCTTTTTTTTTTTTTTTCTATCGGTTTCGGGTCGATTTGGGCCCATTTCGTGATCACGAGGTTAACGGCTGCTACACATTGACCGTGAATCCTACTAACGACTGGAATCCGGAAGGCAAGTTCAAGTGAAAGCGAATCCGGACTCTGGGTTGGAACTCAAGCCTGTCTTGGATTACCTTACATTTGGCAAATTAAGGCCTAGGCCGAACATCGAACGTTTTTAAGACGAACCAAACTCTAATTTGGGTCAACCTAAATTAAGTTAAATTCGTCTGTTGGGTCAGACGTCTAACTTAGGACGCGTCGAACCAATAAACTGAATCAGATCAAAAAGCAATTTTTATAAATTTTCTCCCGAACATACCGAACGAGGCAAATATACATTTTCATTCAGATTCTTAATTTATTAGCTTAGTGTTACGCATGTGAAGAAGATCGGCGTTTGTCTCGGAGACGATCGCGAGACGTTCTATCCGTCTGGATAGAGCATGTTGGACGATCCAAACTCATTCACTGAGCTAGAGGAAGAACCTTTTCATGGACTTATCACTCACTAAGTTTGGTTCGTCTTATGAAAAGTTCGACGTTTAGCCTAGGCCTAAGCCATCTCGCGATCTTTAACCACTAAAATTTATTTTCCAGGCTGTGGCTCGAGCAAATACGACCTCAAACAAATCTTACGGCGAAACAAATTATACAGTATAAATGGCAGAATCCTTCAGTAGCAGTGCAGCTGAAGGTTACAAACAAGCTTCGTTTTCCGTGCAAAAAAGATCCGGTGAGGAATTCATCCAAGCAGATGTTTGCCCTCAAGTCGGAGATGTAATCTTGGATTTAGGCTGCGGTACAGGAGAGCTGTCTGCATACCTCGCTGAGGTGGTAGGAGCCGAAGGAAAGGTCATTGCTGTAGATCCTGACAAGGAACGAATTCAGCTGGCCCGGCAATCGCATGGTCATATGAAAAATTTATCATTTGCAGAGGGAAGCTCCACAAACTTTCTCAGAATAGGTTCAAATGCATACGACATTGTTTTCTGCAATTTTGCTCTTCACTGGATGCCCGAAAAACAACAAGTCTTCAACGACATGTTTTCAAGTCTTAAAGTTGGTGGGAAGATAGCCTTACACTACAATGACCATATACCCACGTTTATGATGAATGCGTTCAAAGAACTCAATCTTGAAAAGGTAGAGAGCATCTCCCAGATGTATCATATGGAACCGAAATGCAGGATCGAGCAGTATTGTTTATCCGCAGGCTTCAAAATTATGAAGAGTTACGAGTCTTACAGCGGAAAATTTGCCTTCGAAACCGACGAAAGCCTTCTGAATTGGCTTTGGTCGACAACGCACGGGATGTTTGATCTGTCACTTGTAACGGAAGAGCGTCTGCAAAGGTATTCAGAATTGTGTGGATCCAACGACGATGTCAACAGCTCTCAACAACCCAAATTCCAGTCTGGCAAAACTCCATTGTGCCGTCTGATAGCTGTAAAGCAGAGTTAAATAGTGCGCAGAGTATTCGTTCTACAGTAGCATATCAATACTGTTTGCTTTGTACTCCTTTTCCACGGGTGCAGAACCGCAGACCGCACAGGGAAGGGGAGAGGGGGAAAGCGTGCGGGGAACAGCTGCTACGGTCAAACGGGCAACGAAAACGTGCAACTTGTTTTGCATTGCTGCAAAACGAGTTGAAAAGCGATGTTGCACATTTTACTACCCAGGAGTCAAACCTGTCTCGCAGCATATCAGGTTGTGTAAATACTGACTTCTGGTTGGATAAAAATACACGGGACTCACGTCATACACGGGGGTTGCGTCACTTGCTGCAAAACAAGTTTGCCTTGGGCCGTTAAAACGCGCAACATGTGCGGCACATCGTTGCAAAACAAGGAGCTACTATCTACTTTTTGCCAGAACTTTTCGGAACTTGAAATAACCTCATTTGTTGCAAGACAGGTTCGATTATTGGGTGGTAACACGCGCAACAACTCACTTTGCAATAATGTCGCAAAACAAGTTGCACGTTTTTGTTGTCTGTTTCATCGTATCTTTACTAAGGAAATCACAACCCTGTTAGCGTTAAAAAATAATAATAATAATTAACATTAAAAAAAAAAAAAAAAAAAACCGTGTGACCATTCCGAGCGTCCGTTTTGATCATGTGTCTTCCCCGAACAATAGTTGTAAAATATTATCTTTGGTATTCAATTGATACGAAGACACGGTTTTAATACGCAACAAAATAAATAACGTAGATCGGTGACGTAGTCAAGAAAAAATGCAAAGCAAGAGAGCAAGCCAAGGGACAACCTCTCTTTGCAAGAAAGGATGTCCTCCATTTGTGTGCAAGTAGGCATAAGGTTGTACATTGTTCGCTTTGTGGATGGCTGTTTTGGAAGGATTTTAGTGGCCGTTGCCATGGTGGAAAGTTGACGGCCGTACTGCCGTAGAGAGGGACGTTAGTCGAATTTCGAGTGTAGTAAGTCATAGAGTTAAAAGTGAATTGTAGTAAAATAAAGTACTAAGTTGCCCTTAGTGAACTATACTTAAATCGTAACTCAAAGGATAGGACTGTATGAAAGAGCTTTGAATTTGTAAAATTGAAATTAAACAATTTTTTACAATTAATTCAATTTTTAGTTTCCAATACTTAAATCCTAGCTCAAAGGATAGGACTCTATGAAAGAGCTTTGAATCAATAATTTACCCTAATATTTCATACCGATTTTCCTCATTTTAATGACATGTGATGATTTTTTTCCCCTGTGCTACACAATTAACGGTTCCGAAAATGTAGACAAGATTATGTCGAATTGGTCGATACACCGCAGAGAAGGTACGGTAAAAGCGGGCATCATTGCTACAAAAGGAGTTGAAAAACGACGTTAAGCGTTTCACAACCCACTTTCATATCTAACTTGCCACAGATCAGGATGTTACAGGTTGCGCAACTTTGTTGCAGAAAGTAGAAAGTAGTCCTACTTTTTGCAACAAAATCTGTACAAGTTGAGAACTTTACCGCCCCAAGGCAAACTTTCTTTGCAGCAACTGACGCAGCACCCATGCATGGCGTGACTACCGCGTAATTTTATCCAATCAAAAGTCAGTATTCACGCAACTCACAGCAAACTGATTTGTTGCAAAACAGCTTTGAACATGGGTGGTAAAACGCGCGACATAGCTTTTCACCTCGTTTTGCAGCAACGTCTCAAAACACGTTTCATGTTTTTGTCGCCCATCTTACCGTAGCTTTAGAGGCTACTGATAGGAAAGAAAAAGAGACAGAAGAGAAAGCATGAAAAACAGCAGGCTGTGTTCGCAGACTAGACAGATTTTCTGCGGTTCTGTGTCGTTTCTCCCCGCCTAAAAGTTACCTTTGTGGCCTTTGAGTCTAATGAAAAGTTACAAAGGCAGGAGGAAGTTCTCTATAATTTATTGGTTGCTCTAAAATTTATTTAACTATAACACAGTGGCAAGCTTTTCTCCAAGAGCAATTTGCGTCTTGCACAGGCCAGATAAATACACGATCATCAGCAGATCCTAAAAAAGGAGTTTTTGAAAGAATAAATTTAGTAACGTGGCCGATGTATTAAGAAGAGGGACCTGAAATCCGGAGTTCCCAGCAAAGGTCCACTACTAAAATACTACATATCAGAAACTTACATTCTAAGCGTGGATGTCAAACCATGTCCCCAAAGGTAGCTACTGTGCGCTATACATGTAAGTACATTATGTTGACAATGGACACTCGATTTCCGCGATGTTCGAGACAAGAATCGGTACCGCACTGCAATCTCAGAAACGGCCCGTTGCTAGTTCATAAAAAAAGCAGCTTTTTTCTTTTCAATTTTTTTTTTATCAAGAACTACATGTACATAGTACGCAGAGTAACCATAAGTGGCCCACCTAAGCGGCCCCACGTCTAAGTTCAGACTACTTTTCTTATTTTCTTGTTTCCTTGTTTGTTGGTTGTTCCTTTTCTTTTATCCCAAAAGGAGCGAGAGCGCCAGCTTATCACGGGGCTTACACCCATAGTAAACATACAGTTACATATACATGGCCGCGCGGAGATACGAAATTTCCCTTCGAGTTTTTCAACATAAGAAATTCCGAACCATTTTTCTTAAATCATTTTTGTTTTTTGCTGTGAAAGGCTTGCTTTATTATGTATAGTATACAAAGTATGCCTCTACAAACGTACCTGCATATTGCTGTTGAGAATGGATTCAAACTCTTCCTTAGACATGCGAGGAACTTGGGTAACGAGATCCATAAGCTCTCTACCAACGCTGTTGTCTCCCGGGACTTTTCCTGCCTGAGGAAAGAGACAGAGAAATGTAAGATTTTAGGAATCTGCTCACCTACCCCTCCCTCTGTAATCTAACGTTGCCACCAACTTCTCACTTTGGGCAAAATGTTGGGTTGACAATAGGGTGGGTGGGCAGATTACCAGACTATTATTTTTGTTACCTTTATGTTTAATACCTTTCGTAACTGGCGGGTTACCGGTGATGAGAAGCAGTTCCACGGAAAAGAACTATTCAGTAGCTTTCTCGCTCATTAGATTTCACTTGAATGGTCACACTTTAAGATATCACCAACAGACTCAAATGTTGGAAACACCTTGTACAGCATAATAAACCGTACCACAGGAAAGTACTGCTCAATAGCTTTCATTTGAATGGTCGCACTCTAAGATTTTGTTCTAACTCAAAAATTACATCCACCTTGCACAGCATAATAGGCAGTATGATCACTGGGAAGTACTGCTTAGTAGCTCTCATTTGAGTGCTTTCAAGCACAGATGTGGGATTTCAACCGAGACTGAAAATTACATTTAGAACTTCGCTATAATCAAGTGACGTTACAACGCTGACAAAGTACACTATCCCCTTAAAAAACAAAAACAAACAAAAACAACCACAACCACAACAATAGTAAACAAAAAAGAGACAAAAACTGCGTGATCAACAGGGTAACTTATTTATAGTACTGATTTTGGGAAACCCACCAGAACATCGTCAACATATGAAACGACGGCATCAAGCATTTCCAACAGTCTTTCACTTGCACTGTAACAGAAAACAAATACCTTAAACAAGCAGAGCAGGAACACAATTCAAACAACAGTTGAAGCTTAGGGTGCCAGAAAAGTGTCCACAAATGCACAGGTGGAGCTAGCCCCTAACAGGGATAGTTTTTGTAAGCGGGAGTTCAAAGGAGATTTTGAAAAGACGGCGGTACATATAAGTAGAGCTGTCGGCTGAGGAGAGTGTCCATAAGGAGCAATTTGACTGTACTGTCAGGGTATAAATTGTGACCTCTTACACGAAACGTTTCTTTCGATATCCGTTCGAACTACTGAATGAAAAACAAGGAAACGGATGAGAAACGGACGGCCAAGCCGTTCGTAACGGAACGGCCGAAAAGACAAAGAAAATTTTTGAACAGATGAGGTCAAACGGCTGAACAACAAACTACAAGAGACCATGTAAAACTGAAGATATCAAGTAATTATTTTTCAGTACCTATCTGGCTTACAGTGTAGCATAATTTGGGATCAACAGTAGTATTTACGGCAAAACGTCTCAAGATCAAATGAACCAATAATACTGAACCAGCCATCATATAATTAGGAGATTGCCTAGAGTGGTGTGATGTCACACACACTTATAAATTCAGACTCAGATTGTCTGTCTGTTCACTTTGGATGTACAGTCCAACGTTATCATTACTTGTGGTGCAATCCACACAAAAGCAACTTTTGTATATTTTGTACCATGCAAAGATACTAACTAGGAAACTACATTGTACCAGACAAGAAGACAAGAAGATTTATTTCACTCAACTCGGTTTACATGGACACGTATGTACATGTGACACAGATTGAAAAAAAGACAATTCATTTACACAAGTAAAGAATAAAACTGTAGCCTCTAGATAAGGAGTGAGTTGGGATCATCCAAGGAGCAAAGGCTAATCTAGTGGATCACCCTTTTCTTTTCTTTCTTCCTTTCTTTCTTTTTTTTTTTTTCATTTAAAACTTGCATGGTGCATAAAGGGAGAAAAAACTGACCTGCTCACATGCTGCACATCTGACAGAGGACTTATACTCTGTTTTGCTGTGTTCTTTGTTTTCTGGAGCCAGTTTACTGTGATACAAAAGCAAGAAAAATTATGTTACAGTTACATCAGACTACTTGAACTTAATAGTTAGAGTGTTACAAACACAGCCCGGTCATAGCAGTTGTGGATCATTATACCTTTCTGGGAAACTGCCCACCTACCCCTCCCCTAAGCCAACATTTTGCCCTACGTGAGAATTGAGTGTTAATGTTGGCTTAGGGGAGCGGTAGGTGGGCAGTTTCCCAGAAACATATAATGATCTGCAGTTGTTTCCGTTTCCTTTTAGCCAAGCAGGAGGAAGTGCAGGAAGTGTGTGAGTGAACGGGTGAACATCTCTCCTGCTTGGTTAAAATAAAATGCAAATTATTATTACTGCTATGCAGGCAACTTCAAACAGAAAAGTTTTTTAAGTCTTTGGTTCTTTGAGATACCATGTAAGAACTAATTTACTGGAGTTAGGTAGATAGATCAAACAACACTATACCTCTTAGGATGAGGATTAGTCACTTCCTGGTAATCTCATTTTGTACAATGGTCTCGCTTACTTTAATAACGAAACAAAATTTGCGCTTTTAACACAATGCCATATCAATGTATAATGTGTATCAATGTAAAATTCTCCATTGATTTGGCACTTTTGAAATGAAAATAAAAAAAAAATTGGTTATCAATGGCTGATAAAAAGTCAACAATGCAAACAAGCATTTTTCTAGTTAATCCTTTCCCATTCACTTCCACTGCAGTGAATTGTATGATCTCACCTCCTACTCTCTCTGGGCCACTGAGAATGACATCACAAGGAATGGGTGAAAAGATAGTTCCTTCTGTCTTTCCTGGAACTCCCATTTTAGAGCTATGTAAGTTAAGTACAAAATAAGTATGTTAAGACTTTACAAGCCATCTCAAAACCAACTAATTATTATACTCTAATGTGAGTGGCTACATTGTAACTTTAAAAGTCTGTGGATAAATTCTGTGATGTGGCCATTCAAATGACAGTTACCAATAAAAGCAGTATGAATATTGGGAATTTCTAATTTTTTTCCATTTCAACTTCAGGCAACAGAAAGAGCAGGTCACGACTAGAGAAAAAATTGAAAGCTCTCAAAAGTTGCTTGCACTAACTACATGAACAAAGCAAATTAAGCAGCTGCATTGCAGGATACGTGTACTCTACATGATTGTTCTTGCACCAGGCAACTGCAAAGGGCCTTTCTTCAAGCTCTGTGACAGTTCCAACTAGATTCAACATAATTTTTTGTTATCACTGAGATGGAATTACCTCTGGTAAGCTCGGACTCCCATTCGTGAACCTTTTAGTGTTGTGTCTACTGTAACATGAACAGGGTTACTTGTTTCTCGTGAATAGTACTCATGGATAAGTAAAGAATGCTCGGTGACATCTGATCCAGTAGCATACCTTAGAAACATAATATAATTTTATCAGTAATTACTGATTTATTCCAACGATAATTATAATTTTCAGAAAATTAGTTGATAGGGTTGAATGCTAGGGTTGAAGAGTGACTATAGCACACATGTCCAATACTCACCATTTGTTCAAGTCGTAAAATCAGGACTCTAGTTGTACAAATCTGTGCAGTTGGTTCAAGTGGCGAATGTGATATGTTTGAGTGGAGTAAAGTGAAGTATATTACATGGTTGCATCTCATTAGACAACTGTAGAGAGGTTGTCCTGTCAAGTGGTTTGACTTGCATGAGTCGTACAAGTACAACTGGTGAAATAGCATCTCATTAGAGACACTTAGAATTTGTGAGCGAAGTTGTCGTGAGGAGGGTCCTGTCAAGTGGTTCAAATCGTACAGTGTATGAATGGTGCAACTGGTAAAATAGCATCTCATTAGAGACACTTAGAATTATTGAGCAAAGTGTCATCAGGGGGGTCCTGTCAAGTGTATGACTCGTACAAGTGGTGCAACTGGTAAAATAGCATCTCATTAGCGGCACTTTGAAATTGAGAGCAGAGTTGTCAAAAGGGGGCCTTTCGAGTGGTACGAGTTGCACAACTGGTGAAATTGGCGCGCATGAATGGGAACGCATACTTGTAAACCATGAATATTCCTTGTTCGATAAGCACACTAAACGACAAACATCTGAATCATGCATGAAACTACAAAATGGTTAAAAATATTACAATCACAAAAAGTTCTAGTTAGCACGTGAACAAGAATGCATAGACCATGAATATTCCTTGTTCTATAAGCACACTACACAACAAACATTTGATGCATCAAACTACAATTTTAGGGCTCAAAATATTTGTCACACAAAAACGTCTAGTTAGCACGTGAATAAGAACACATACACCATGAATATTCCTTGTTAGTATCTTATGTAACAAACATTCGGTGTATAATGCTGCAAAATGGCTCAAAAATAATTATATGTTGAAGTTAATTTTTTATCTCAGGTAATTTTCCCTTTTCTTTTGTTTAAACTTCATATACACTGTACCCAAAAACAAAAGAAAAACAAAAATTACGTGAGATGAAAAATTAACTACAACATATATGTTCACACAAAAAGTCAGTTAGCATATGAACAAAAACACATACAAATTTATAATAACGCCATAAGGAAATGAATTAGCGGCTTTATTTATAACTCACTGAAGTGAGCTCTAAGCAAAAAAACAGACTATTATATTGCGCACTTGCAAGATCTGAATTCAAAGCAGTCTTCACAGCTGCTAATACAAGTCATCTATACATCTGTCGAACAAAAAGACCCATGAACCATAATCTAATGGTTTACCTTTACCTGAGACTTCAGTTCCAGAAGTATTTCTGATATTCTTAAGGTTTTCATCACTCTGTAACTAACAACTAACGGGTGAGGACAAAACATGGACCAGGGGTCCACGGACCCCCACTTTGGACCGGGTCCATAGACCACTTTCATGGGCCGGGTCCATGGACCCCCTGTCATGGACCGGGTCCACAGACAGTTTTTTTAATAATGTGAAATGAACAAAAACAGAAATAGTGCAAAAATAAGGTTAACAACAAACAATGCTCGATTGATCAGTATTGTTTTTATTGTGCTTACATAGTGTAAAAAAAGAGGGGGGGTCGGTACCTCATGGCAAAATGCTGCTTGTTCCAATGAACTGTTTTCTCTGATGGGTAGATTATGCTTCGGAGGAAAACCTTTTGACTGAGCAAATGTGAATTTTTGCTGCTTATTTCATACCGTGAGGTCGTGACACGCATATTGATTTTCTACCTCTTTTAAAAAGTAAAGCTGTTCATTGCGGCTGATCAAAAGGGTTTTAGGTTGTTTAATTTCTCCAAACTGCATCCTGGATCTGAATAATTCTAAACCACTTTCTTTTTGTCCATGAATGTCACTTTTTCCTGCAACGTTTTGTCATGCTGGGCCCAGTTCCTTAGGGCTTTTAGCAGGACGATTATAAATTCTCACGGATAGTGATTTACAGATCCAGATCTTCAAGACGAAGAAGTGGCACAAACTGAAGCTACATCAACTATGGAGAATTGCGATGTGACTCAGTCATGATTGCTCTAAAAGCAATGAATTCTTAACTCCAGCTTGTTTTTCTAAGGGTGAAGTCTCTCGGACGGAAAAAAGGTTCAAGATTGCGATTGTTTTCGGGTCGTTTGACAATGTTCCAGAGAAGAAAGGAATGGATTTGTGAAAGCAGATGTCGTAAAGTAAGTGTTCAGTTACATGTATTTGCGGGATTTTTTTGCCCTTAAACCCTTCCACGACTACAGTTTATGCTCGGTCTGCATTTTACCCCAGCCTGCGTTTTACTCTTAGTCTGCAGTCTGCATTTTACCCACAGTCTGCATTTTACCCCTGGTCCGCAGTCTGCAGTCTGCAGTCTGCGTTTTACACTGACCAAAAAAAAAACTGTCCATGGACCTGGTCCATGACAGGGGGTCCATGGACTGGTCCAAAGAGGGGGTCCATGGACCCCTGGTCCATGTTTTGTCCTCACCCACAACTAACACTGCGAAATAAACTCTAACTCAGCCAACTTTAAAAAAGCTTGTTTCACATTCTGACTGTACATAATGTTTTAGTTTTCCAGTTTATGATGTAAATGGAAATTGTGCGCTAACAAAACTAGTGAAAAAAATTTTAAAATAAATATGTAACCTCAAAAATGAGCCATTGAAAAGGAATATATTGCAGCCAAACTAACTGGGATTCCTACTAATTTAGATACACTTGTAGCTTGTACACTTCTACAGGAAGAACACCCAAGAAAGCGAGCAATGATTTTATTCCCCGATAATGACTCCTCTTCTTATTAAGTTTAAATTTGTTACACGTGATCACAATCATGACGATGTGACCAAACTGACACTTGAGACGATACACCCAAAATTCAATGCCACAATACTGAAAGATACAGTCATCAGTACTTAAAAGTCAAGATAACTACTATATGAGCTTGTTTTGGATTTAAGTGCACGTTTGAACTTACATGTAGTATATTGCAAATTCAGTGCTAAAATTTCAACTTGTACACGTTCTTGTTTACACGCTAATTTTACCAGTTGTATGACTTGTGCTCTCAATTTCTAAGTGTCACTAATGAGATGCAAGATTTCACCGGTTGCACGACTTGTATGAGTCGTTCCATTTGACAGGCCTCCTCTTGATATTACTTTGCTCAATTTCTAAGTGTCTCTAACGAGATGCAAGTTCACCAATTGCCATGAAAATGAGCTGAAGTTCAACTAATGTGACATACCTCACATCATCACACTGAAACATTACCCATTCCTAGTACCAATCACATGGATTCAGACTCAGGCACACACACAATACGATTTTTACTACTTGAAAAAGTGGTGAGTTTTGGAAAATAAAACTACGTGAGGTATTTACAATAAACTTCAAGGCCTAAGAACAATTTACTTTAAAGAGCTGACTTTTTCATGTCAAAATCATAACAATAATGATAATAAAATTCAAAGTCTAAAACTATTTACTTAGAAAGTTGACTTTTCAATATCCTTTTAAAAGAGCGAAAACTTGCTATTTCTCTTGAGTGACTCTCTAGAGACTTCCAGAGAGTTGGATGATGTTTAACTGATCTAAATCTCAATCCTGACTCAATAGTGGCAATGCCAGAAATGTGCCCTAAGATCTGTTCAATCAATCAGAGACTGTTGATACACTGCAACAACTCACTCCTATCTGCATTATGTCAAACACAGCTATAACACCAGGTACATGTAAAACCAAAATTTACAGCGTATGTCAGACTTCCATAAAGTCAGAGCTTTTAGTGTGGTGCAAAAAAGGGGGAATTACATGTACATGTATGCCACATTATCAAGGCATGCATCAAGAAAAGTTCAATAATTACTTGTATGAGACAAATCACGTGATTTCTTTGCAAACAGTTGCAATTTAAGGTCTATTAATCGAAATCACAAATGAAATTCTGAAAATTTCATACTGTTGTAAAATCTTCCCTTAAGCATTATCAGGCTCAATTTTTTTTGTTGATCACGGACAATTTTAGCCCTACAAACTAATGCATAAGGGAGTAAATTCACAAGGATTTGCATTGAAAACCACTCAGCCATGAGTGTGTGGCAAGAGTTGTTTTCCCCATACAAATCCTTTTAAATTATGAAGGCCGTTACAATCATTACTTTTGAGATAATTATACTGCTAAAAATTTAAAGGTTACCTAATTTCACATGCTCTTTCAGTCCCTCCTAATATGATTAATTTTCCAAACAGAAATGTTTTCATGTTAACAGAAAGTTGATCACATGACCAAGTATTGCAAAAGGCCTAGTAGCAGTTCCTTACCAGCCCACTATTTCATCATTTGGATGTGACTTCTTATGAAGATCGAACATACTCTTCGCATATTCTAATTCAATGGCAACCTGAAAAAAGGCAACAACAAAAATTAGTTTACCTAAGAGGTACACTGTACACTTACCTGCAGAAATAACAAAAACATGAAATAACAAGTTACACAGTATCATCTTAAAGTAATGTTGCACAGGTGAGAGGACAACAGTATGTGTCCTCTTTATTTTTCTCGTTAACCATAAGCCCAGATGAAAGTACTGTCTGCTACTATCAGCTACATTATCTTCTTCGTGGCTCTTGCTATCTTGCCAGATGGTTAAACGTGTACTGTGTAACAGCTTGCAAAATAAATGTCAGTTTCTCCTGTTGCACCTTCTTGTAGCTGATCCAGCTGCCAGTTGCAGTAACTGGACATAAAGGAGTCAAAATTTGAGATTGCAATCATTTGGTCCAATCTCTTTCTTCTCTTTGATCAAGCTTCTCTTCCCAGTCAACCCTCAGCATCTCAAGACATAAATAAAGCTGAATAACCACTTTAAGAAATTGCCAAATTCACCATTTACAGTTGGATGGAAAATGCTTTCGATCCTTTGGCATTTGCAAAGAATTTTTGGTCACTAAAACAGTGTAAGAACTGGCTCTTTGGTAACATCATTGTCCACAACAACAATAATAATAAGCAGAAATAATAACAATTCATGTGATCTTTCATGTGAAAACATTCCTAACGGTTTGCAATTTTTAAACAGATAGCTATTCTTAAGGCGTTTATCAGCAGTTTTGAGCAAAATGGGTATCCAATTGTACAGCCTGAGCTATCCATTAAGAAAATTGTCATCTGTTCAAACAGCTCATGAACTATCTTGCATTGGGATAACTATGTGCAAGTATCGGGAGTGGGGTGGATTGATTTACCTCCAGTTTTCAGATATAAAGAAGTTTGTATCCCTGTGACAACTTATCAGTGACGTATAATTTATTGACAAACATGGGGAATCAATTAAAAACAGGGTGTCCAAATAACCCTTGTGTTTAAACCGGGTTGCAAAAATGTGAATATTGCAACTTTGTCAATTATTATTGGCCATCAAATAAAGTTCAATTTTCAAAGGGCCAAGGATTTTCGGTAATGCATGGATCTACAAACAAAAGCAACGCACAACAATTCGATTAAGGCACCACATGTACATACAACAATTATATGAGACAAATCGTTGGTTTTCTAATCAATACTTGTGTGTTGTCTTTTCCTTAGATTATAAGCATGGTGCCTGCAGTAAAAAATTTTGCCCTTATTACCTTTGTTTTCACTGGATTTTACCGAATTTGAGACTCTAATTATAAAAGAAGCTTGTTAAACATCTTTGCCAAAAAAAAAAAAAACTTTTATCACCTCGTCTTCCGACTCATTGTGTGGGACGCCGAAAGAACTTCGAATTTCTACCGACGTCTTATCCACTGATCCAAGAAGAGTTCCTATCACTCTTTTAGCATCTTCTGAACGCCGTTCATAGCCATCTACGATAGAAAAAAGCACCACAGGATGAATAAAAACTTTCCTGGCTCTCGACTCCGGCGCCGCCATCTTGAATATTACATGTGCTTTTGATTAGTTACCAGTTTACTTTCAAGTTGATGTTTTCAGCGGAGAGAGACTGGAATCTCTTCAATTCTTGGTCAGCGGCTGGTCATAAGATGGGTAGGTACCTCATGTATGGGGAAAAAAGATTGAAAATCTTGAAATCTCGTGGGAAATCTAAAAAAATGCGAGTGTTTTAAAAGGAGGAACAGAACAGATGATGAAATACTGGATCAATTTAGACTTGTGGGAAACTGCCCATCTACCCCTCCCCTAAGCCAACATTAACACTTGCTTCTCACTTAGGGCAAAATGTTTTCTTAGGGAAGGGGTAGGTGGGTAGTTTCCCAGAAACCGAAATTGATCCTTAATGCGTATTAATGCGGTAGTATACAAATACATCGCGTCCCTTTAACCTGCTTTTTCTATCTTCCTATCCGCCCCTAGCCATTCTCGCGTGTGTACTTTTATTTTTACCCTGGCTCGCGTGTTTTGCTCGCTTCACTATCCCTGTGGAAAATTGAATGTTTATTTGTGTACTTTGACAGCGAAAACCGGTTTCCAAGAAGACTAGTACAAAATTTTGCACGTTAAATTTTGCAACTAATTGGAATAAAATATCGCTGGTTCATAGTAAGCCTAGGGTAGGGGAAATATTTTTGGTTTCTTGATCCAAAAAGGGGAAGTCAAATTTCAGTTGGACGTGGTCTGTTATTAACCAGGGGCTTCCGCATTAGAGCGGCATACACGGACCCCGCAACTTACGCAACAGGACAGGAGAGGGAAGAAGACGGCAAACCTTGTGTGACAAGCGTGACAATACTTTTGTTTGAAATAACTTTTTGCCAAACTTCACTTTCCTTTAAACAGATCTTTTGGCAAAAGACCAGAAAACAAAAATGTTAGGGGAAGATCACGACAAAACACGTAAGTAATAGCCCTGTCACGTTTGTCACACACGAGCGTTTTGCTGTCCTCCTCTTCCTGCCGTCCTGTTGCTTAAGCTCACTAATGACGGGTCCCAAGAGAAGTAGGCCGCTCCGAGAAACTTTGACGGGCTCATATCAAAATCTGCCGGACAAATACTCTTATACTGAACTTCACGACCACGCACCGAAGTACGGCTGACTCGAATGGACCGTAATTTTGGAACCTCTTTAGTTTTACTCTCACAATATTTCAAAAAGAAACACAAAATGCACCTGCAGAATGTACTCATCTCCTGATGGGTGACGAGCCTGCCTGACATGCGCGACAGCAAATGTAATCAATCGCGCGGGCCTGGGTAACAGAAAAACAAATCGGCGCCTTTTTGGGAAGAGACTTGAATAGTGGTCAATATTCAGGGTTATGGTGCCGCTTAAAGATCCTTAGAGACTTTTTGGGCAAAACGAATTCATTCTCCATGTTCGATGTGTCAGTGCTATCTGACCTGGCTGTAAAGGGAGCCTAATTGAAAATGCTGTGTCATTAACTAGAAAGATAGGTAAATAATTTATGAAGCAGTTGGAAGGCCTGGAAGGCTAATTTTATTTTCCACAACACCGTAAAGCGCCTATAGCTAAAAGGAGATTGCTATAAAGACTTTTATGTATATAAGCTAAAAAGTCAAACATCCACACAATGTTCATTTAATCATTTTTGGCAGTTACCTTTGCAATGGAAATGAAAAGCTTAACTTATCCGCTTTACAACATTTTCATATTATATAGCATGGCACCCAGAGTCCATCCCACAATGAACCCATTCACTTGGTTGCCTACTTCTATAAGTTTATCTGCAGGCAACCCATAGCCCTGTGACAAAAGCTCATAGACAAAATTGCTGGAAAAGCAGGTGTTTTTGGCGTAAGGGTCACTGCTAACTTCATGGTATTTTTTAGCACAGAAGCGTCGAGAGCTCATATCATACATAGCTGGTGATAAGGGTTTGGTACAATGCCAGCAATTTATCATGCCCGTTCCATGTGCCGCATAAAATATCCCCGAGAAGCCGAAAAAATCACCGGGTAATTTAGGCTGGTCATAAAATGGGCAATTGGGACTTTTGCAGAAAAAGGTTTGTTGAATGATCGAACGACACTCTTCTACTTGTGCCGTCCCTCTGATGGTAAACATTCTACCACTGATGGAAATTTGATCTTGAAAACCGTTGTGATGACAAGGACTTTGAAGAACTCCATTCACCGGGGGATTTTTCGCCAGGGTTTCGAAATATCTTTTACGAGCCTCGTTTAACCCATACCCTAGATAACTTCTAGCAAAGAGACGATATGGTTTTCCTGCTACTGTTAAAGCAATGGTTTCTTTAGAGGGGTTTTCAAACGTGTTCTGATGGGACGCCCCTCCTATCTCGAGAATTCCGAATGTTGACCCAGAATTCCCAGGAGCAAATCTACCCTTTAAAAAATTAAGAGAAATCCAAGCGTATATCCCTTCAAACGCGCCCGAAACGACTTTTACATCCGTTTCAGGGTTGAACGTAAATGGACATTTGGCTTTGTCATTAAATAACATTTTAACTTTGTTCATTATGGCGTCGGATTGGCGTTTCCTTATTAGTCGCATTCCTGCTGTAGCGAATAGGAAGATTGGAGTAGAGACGTGTTTCGCTACTGGGACGATCTTCATTGCTGCGTCCAGCAAGGGCTTCAGATAACCATCAACCGCACTTGGGTTTCCAGCAGGTGAAGCGAGCCCAGGCTTTACTTTGAAACCACCCAGCAGATGAATATCTTTGACATCTTACGGCGGAGCATTCGCATCTACCTTGTAGACAATCAGCTTGGTTTTGGAGGAACCCGCATCTAAAACAATAGCATATCTGGATGTATTTGAGCCAGCAGTGATCTGATCATGGAGTTGTACGGGGATACCATGACATGTCAGCAACGTTGTTATATTGACCATGAGTAGTAGAAGTAATCTGTACGGGCCCATTGCTCTACCTGAAGCTAGAAACATGGTGAGGATTATCTAGTGCTCGGAGTTGAGAGATGATAAGTTGACAAACTCAGTGACAGTAACGACGTCTGATACATTTGTAAAATGTTTAACCAAGTCCTCAGGGCCGGGTAGTTCAAACATGGGATAGCATTATTCACCGGATAAATCACTGTCCATCAGAGAACTATTATGTAAACCAGTTTCGCTATACAGTGGATAAAGATTTATCCACGGTCGAAAGCATTATCCACCTTTTGTTCAGCTGAGGCCAGTAAAATATGCTGTAAGGCTACGCAATTGCACTACCCGTGAGATTCATTTTGAAGGTCACACCCTTGGGTTTTGTCCGCTCCACAATGTAAAAGGTACAGCTCTTCATAATTGATACTGTACTAATGGAGGTAAAGGAACTGACCAATATGTCTCGATATGTCAATATGAAAATTCAAGCTAAGGAAACTGAATCTCTTGAATCCATATCAGAGATGAGATTACATGTCGGTTACGCTAGTGACTTGGCTATTAGAGAAATGGCGTGTGTAATAAAGGTGTACCATTTTAAAGAGTTTAGATACGAAGGTAAGGAGCTCTATGTGCTCAGGGGACCGGTATATGTTTTTATAGACTGAAAGTGTAATTAATCTTAGGAATTAGGTAAAACCCTTATGGTAGTCATAAACATGACGTGTCCATACAAGGTACAAATGTTAAATGCCAAGGGATATATATATGTATTTTTTAAATTGACTAGCATCACCTTACTTTGCTGGAAATATCCAGGGCTACGATGCCAACTCAGACTGTCAGACGAATAAATGACAACATGAAGTGACCGACAATCAAATTAGAATCAGTAAGTTTCTCACTGAACATCATCAAGTAATCTGAAATTACCACTGGCACATCCAGGTAATTTTGGCAAAAGAATATCAACACCAGTGAACTTGTTCAGTTTGTGTGAAACAATCATTTTCTCTTGGTGTGAAATTAGTCAAAAAAGTGTCAAAAGCTGTTGACGACCGACCAAGTGGTACTAAGATTATACTTCTGTTTCACCCTAAGATTATATTTCCGTTCCGTTTTTCCCAGTTTAATTACAGTTAAACAAAGTAAACCAGGCGACGATCTTCAGAACGTTTAATCTTTTTATTTTTTGATCGTCAAAAAATGTTAAACCACAATATTGTGAAGAACGTACCATTAATAATTCAGTAATGGTGAAGAAATTAAAAGGCAAAAGAAGCCGTTTTTGAAGAACAGCCGCACCAGACCGGCGTCTTTAGACATATCATTTATTCTTGCTTCGCTTCACTACCCTTTAATAAATATTAATGTTTCTTCTATAAATGGGGAAAAAATTAGAACACAACGCTATCAAAACTGTTCAATACGAGACATTATATACTTACTTTTTCGTTATGATAATTTTTTCTTATCAGTTTTCTATAAGAGTTACACGGATTCTGCGAAAAAATAGACAGCACCAAGGTGGGATATGACTAGCACTGATATGCTGTTCAATTATTGATTGTATCAAAGCAATCGATAAATGAAAGGCGGGAAAATAGCATCAGGCCAGGGAGCGACCGCTAAAATTAAGACCAGGTTGAAAAAAAAAGAAAGACATTTCATTCTTCAGGAACCAGAAGTCCGTGTAGATCAGCTGAAATAGTGAGCTTTAAACTATACATTTAAACGTTTTGACGGTTAAGGTGGCTCGATTGATGGGATTTTTCGGGGTCAATACCTCCCAAGTTTGAGCATAAACTACGTCGCCATTAACAGAGATTTGGAAAAAAAAACCACCACAGCTGTAAATGAAAATTCGATATGATTAGGGTTACTAACATCGGAGCCAGTGTCATAGCGACGCTGGGAATTAACTTTCTTTTTTCCTAAAATTTGTTCACGGGAGATTTTTGTCTAAAAGGTGCCTTAATGTTTGTGAAGTTAGAGCGAAATCTATGAGAGCGATATAGTGAAAATTTTTGGGTGAGGCTTTAATCAGGTTAGAAATTCAGCATAACACAGGTCAATCCTGATTTTGACCGTTATCTTTAGAAACCGAAGCGCTTTTGAAATGCTATTTTGCCTCATAGTAGTTTCATTCATATTTAAAACGTGTTCTCTCACTGCAAAGTCTATGGGGATAACTTTATCTAATTACAAGAAGGGATTTGATTACTAAACATTGAGGTGCTCTTGTTAGCGTTTTTGTAAATATTTTGGTCCACTTTAACAAATGAGCGAACAATTTTGAAACCCCTTATGGAAATCTTTTTTTAATATACAAAAAATATAATTCTCGTAATTAACTACCGTTTTATATGACCTTTGAGTTTCAAGATTATTGATAACTTGTAAGGCAGTAAGGTTTGTAAGGTTTGAAAGATGTCAAAATTCTGAATCCCCACGGCCACCCTAAACTAGCATTCCCAAAAGATTTCCAGACCGCCCATGTATGATAAAAAAAAAATCAAACATTGTCATGGCCACATTTAATCATTTTTTCTTTTTAATTCAGCTTTACGCGCTAACGTTATACCACTAACAGCACTATTTGCACTGCAACTTGAATGCTCAACTTATCTTCTCTATAACAGTTTCAAGTTGTACAACATTGCACCCAAAGTCCATCCCATATCGAACCCTTCCACTTGGTTTCCTACTTCTATCGGTTTACTGACAGGCAACCCATAGCCCTGTGACAAAAGCTCAAAGACAAAATTGCTGGAAAAGCAGTTGTTTTTGGCGTAAGGGTCACTGCTAACTTCTTGGTATTTTTTGGCGCAGAAGTGTTGAGAGCTCACATCATACATAGCTGGTGATAAGGGTTTGGTACAACGCCAGCAATGTATCATGCCCGTTCCATATGCCGCATAAAATATCCCCGAGAAACCAAAAAAATGCCCGTGTAATTTAGGCTGGTCATAAAATGGGCAATTAGGAGTTTTGCAGAAAAAGATTTGTTGAATGATCGAACGACACTCTTCCACTTGTGCCGTCCCTCTGATGGTAAACATTCCACCATTGATGGAAATTTGATCTTGAAAACCGTTGTGATGACAAGGACTTTGAAGATGTCCATTTACCGTTGGATTTTGTGCGAGAGTCTCGAAATATTGTTTACGAGCTTCGTCTAACCCATACCCTAGATAACTCCTAGCAAAGAGATGATACGTTTTTCTTCCTACGGTCAAAGAAATGGTTTCTTTCGAAGGGTTCTCAAAAGCATTTTGATGGGAAGCCCCGCCTACCTCGAGTATGCCAAATGTTGACTCAGAATTTTAGGGGGTAAATCTGCCCTTAAGAAAATTGAGAGAAATCCAAGCGTATATCCCCTCGAACGCACCCGAAATTACCTTTGCATCTGTTTCAGGGTTAAAAGTAAAGGGGCATTTTGTTTTGTCATTAAATACTTTTTTGACTTCTTTCATTATGGCGTCGGATTGTTGTTTCGTCAATAGTCGTATTCCTGCTGTGGCAAATAAGAAGATTGGAGTAGAGACGTGTTTGTCTGCCGGGACGATCTTCATTGCTGACTCCAGCAAGGGCTTCAGATAACCATCAACCACACTCGGGTTACCAGCAAAGGAAGCGAGTCCAGGCTTTACTTTGGAACCACCAAGTAACTGAATATCTTTGACGTCTAACGGTGGTGCATTAGCAGCGATCTTGTACACGATAAGCTTGGTTTTGGTGGAACCGGCATGTAAAACAATGGCATATCTGGCTGCATCCTTCCCTGCAGTCATCTGGTTACGGCGTTGTACGGGGATACTATAACATATCAGCAGTTTTGTTGTACCAATCACAAGCAGAAGAAGAAATCTGTTTGGAACCATTTCTACCTGAATCGCGAAAGACATTAAGAATTAGTGTTTGAAGACGAAGATGATAAAGAGGTTGACAATAACGGCATTTGTGGCGTCAATGGAGAGTGAAAAATCATGCAAACAGTAACATGCAATGTAGAATGTAGTTATGTCCATGAGTATTTTCAATACATGATCACACCCTATACCGATTTTGACCAAGGGGGAGAGGGGAAGTACTCCGAATTTCAAGTGACGGGAACGGGAATGATCGAAGGGTTTTTTTGGGGGGGGGGGGGGGGGGGGGGGGGGTGGGGAAGGTTGAAAATTTCGATGGCGGTATTTTTTGGGCGGGAAAATTTGGCAAGTATTTTCCTCTGGGTGCGTGGCTTGATTCAAGTAGGGACTTTTGGGCATTGGTGTCTCAAGTGTTGTTAGAATGGCTACCAGATGTGGAAAAGTAACTTTAAATAATATGATGATTTCTAATGTTCGGAAATTCGCCGTGGGATTTTTTGGAGGGTTAATTTTTGGTTCCTCCACAAACATAAAAGGTGAAAATTCTTAGTTCAGCCTTCTCCTCAGCTGAATTGGTCTAAGGAGGAAAGTGTAAAATGCTTAAGACCCACCCATGATACAATACATCCATTTGCGATAATGAAGTGCTGGGACCTTTCTTACATGTGTGCGAAACGAAAAATTACACTCCATAAAGGCAATACTGTACTTGAGAACTGGTATAATTATATGGTTTTGATAAACAGGTGACCCGTTATTCAAAAGAAAAACAAAAAGAGAATGGACCGCTCTGAGACACCCAATTAAAGCTAAACAAGTTTTAAGTGAGCCATTTTTCTAAAATATCGAGATGTACTATGGTAACTGTATTTAGCGGTTACAGCACTTTGCTACAACTCCGTCGACGGAAAAACTGAAAATTTCCACTCCTTCTTATCGATTTCAAAGTTATTGCTAAACGTACAGGCTTTCAAAGAAATTAAAAAAAAAAAAACGAATCACGTTTAACAGTTCATTTCAGACTAATCTATCGATTTTCTTGGATGCTTATATGAAACTCCAGATTGATTGTCACAAAAAGGTTGGTAAATTTAATCTCCGGTGAGAAGAAAGCCCGTTTTGCTTAAAACAAACTGAAGCTTTCTCATTTAAACCGCCAGAATATAAATTGCTCACAGTCGTGGGCGTAAACTGTTTCGCTTTAAATGAACCCAGTCGCGCGGCATAGCAAAAGAAAGAGAGACTTTATTACCTGGGCCAACTAAATAAGTTATATAAATCGAAAAAATAGATAAATAGAAACACTCTTAAATGAGACCTGAAGACGGCCACGGAGTAGAAATTTGGTAAGTGTATGGACACCAAGTTACAAAGACATCCTTTCCTGAAAGTGAGTGTCAGAGATTTAAAAGGGTGTATTCTGTTTCTTTTCCCAAGCCGATAACCATTAAAACGACCTGGATGATAAAAACTTGAAAAACAACAACAAAAACAGAACAAGCATCAAAGAGCAATGATTTCACTTTAAAACGCGCTCTGCTCACCTTTTTTGTCTCCGTGGGCTACAACAAGGTTAGACAGCTTGACTATACAACATTAGTACTGACGTTCTACTCCTTTTTCCCAATATTTTCTTTTCACTGAGCAGTTAATTATAATTTGATGCCACGTGGCGTGCTTAAACACCTAATGCCGAAAAGAATTTTGTTATTAGTGTCGATTGACATGCAGCGGAGACGCTATTGGCTAATTTCGAACTCATGTTGGCCAAAATTGAAATAGACTTGTAATACCTATTCAAAACATTTATCGTGCAAACGCAACCAGCTGAATATACTAGGACTTTCTGGCTATAAAGGCTTAGCAGTAGTCTTTAGATTTTCAGCTACTTTGCTTATCGCCTAGATTTCAGTCGATGTAAAATGACTCAGTATTATTAAATATTGCTAGCACTGTTCTTAGACACATTAAATGTTTCTTCACAACTTACTTTGACGCTTTTTAAAATCTTGAAAATTGGGTTCGAATTATGGAATAAGATCGACAACTGAAGAATTGAAGGTTATGATTTTAAATTTAAAGAAGTAAACATGATTGTATACAGTAATGAAATTTTCCCTCTTGGCTATAAGGTTTTTTGACGTTCTAACGTTAAGGGTATATTGAACTTTGCGCACAGGCAGTCACCATGAAAGCTAACAAAAACGTGTCATATATCACAAATAAGTGTAGACAATTATGGCACTCTGTACATGCTCTGTTAACTATGGTGTAGTCATAGCAAAATATGGCCTAACGGTTTTTAATTATCATCACCTATACTATACTTCATTTAAAAGAGAATTAGGCCTATAGATGGTTCAATAAATGTCCCAAATGTCGTTTCGAGGAAATGTTAGATACATGCATCCGTAATAGGCTCCAGTTGCATAGGCTTTGTTTTCAATTCTGTTTTCTTTGGACGAGTGGGCCATAATCATCTCATATTCCATGATGGCGAAGCCAATGGAGCTCTAGAATTGCATTATTCAATGTTTCAGTTTTTAATAATCATAATTGTCACATGATACATTTAATGTTTAGAATTTTGCAGCTCGAAAAGCAGAGAAGCAAGAAACACCCATGTAAGTTTTCTCAACAGAATCGATTATAGTTGGACAATAAAGTTGATCAACAGTGTATAAATTATATGCAGGCTTTGTACTGACCTATCATTGTGACATATACATGGGTGACATCACAACGGCAGCTGACTTAACAAAGGAGTTGTAAGAGAAAGATTTTGAACCACAAAAGTCTGCTTTAAGCTGACATTTTATGTGTTTGATTAGAGAAATGAGCAGAAAATGAGCGTCAAAATTATTTTTATGTTTAAACCTGTCATGAAACTTCTTTAATTTGTGTAAATACAAAAGTGCAAACTTGTTTTAGGCGGACATCAGCAGGACCTTCGCTGGTGTCCGTTTAGTAGAGGTGTCCACTAAATACAGGGTTGTTTTATTAAAATATTGAAAGAAACATTTGAAACACACCAAGCAATTCGTTCGCTTAATAGAGGGTGTACACTTAATATGGGGCTCGCTTAATACAGGTTTCACTGTAATTTAACTCAGTTACGATCGTATTTTTAAAGCTTTTAAACGTCTCACGACAACATAGGTGAGAAAACGTAGTAGTCTCCTCTCAGTGTTGCATATGCATGATGGTTTTATAAACAAAAGAAATACGGAAGTCGCGTAACAACTTCCTAAAATGGATCGACTATATTATTCTCTACTGTTTTAGACTAGTTCACGCTCTTGAAGACATGATGGGTTATCAGGACAAAATCCGATGCAAAGTTGAAAGAAAAAATTCTAAGCTAATTATGTCAAATTTCTTTGATTAGTTAAGATAGTGACGTCATCGCTAGAGCTCCTTCGAATCATGTCCCAGTCTTGTCTTGACACTGGTGAGCGTCTTGTCCCTGGAAACATGCTCTTTTAATTACCAATCTTTAAGAAAGGGTCCAGTTGAGACCCCACCAACTACCGTCTAATCTCCTTGACATGGGTTCTCTCGATCTGTAAGACTCTTGATCGAACATATTATACATTCCAACACAATGCAATGACTCTCACCTTGAATAGCACTCACTGCAGATATTCAACATATGGCTTCCTTAAAGGGTTCTCCGAATTAAAATGTTGATTCTTACCCTACATGACCTTGCCAAAATTTTGATGGTAAACTGGAATCCGATCTTATCCTACTAGACTTCTCCAAAGGCATTAATTCTGTCTCTCATCAAAGGCTTCTCCTTAAACTTGCTTCTTATTAACATATGGGTTCATATTCTGACTTGTATTGTGTCTTTACTGTAAAATCGACAGAAGTTGGCATTCTGGGGCATGTAGTCCACGTGTCGCGCCTGGTGCACCTCAAGGATCAGTTCTGGGACCCCTTCTCTTCCTTATATACATAAATCACCTCCTCAAAAGTCTCTTGTTTACTTTTGTTTTGCTGATAACGAAGGAAGGGTCACATTTATTTTGACCATAAATACTATTCAATCTAAGTGTTTCACGATACTGCCAACCTCCGGTATTCCCATAAATTTCTTATAAACTATTTCGAGCAAAAGGTCACAGCGTTTCTGCCGCTAAACCACTCTTGTGGGTAAACCTTAGTGCATATAGGTGACTATGTGACAATTTAATATATAAATAAAAAAAATAAAAAGGATTTCTATTGCGCCATATCTGTAGGCTCATGGCGCTTTACAACTGAATATTTCAAACCCAAAATTTTGTAGATTTAAAAAAAGTATACATCATTGATAATAAAACACAAATATACAAAAATACAAGTTAAAAAAATTCTTATTTAAAAATTAAAATTAAAGATTAAAAATCAAGACTTAAAATTCTTATCCCAATATTTACATAGTTATATACATTATTCTGACAGAACTTTGATTAAAATGTTCTTTCAATAAGAAAGTCTTTATTGAAGTTTTCAATTTTGAAATGTCATCAGCAGTGCGTATTTCTTCTGGCAGTGAGCGGTTCCAAATTGTCGGTGCTGCAAATGCGAATGATCTATTGCCATATTTCTTCACCTTTGATGATGGTATTTCCAGGAGCCTCTTAGAGGCAGATATTAAGCGTCTTGATGGTCTGTAAGGGTTGCAACATTTCTGTTATATAGGAAGGTGTAAGACGTTAAAGGTTAACAGAGGTATCTTGTATTTGATACAGCTGTACATGGGAAGTCGGTGTAACTGGTTGAGAATTGGCATGATATGATCATGTTTCCTGGAACGAGTTATAAGGCGTGCAGCGCAGTTTTGGACAGCTTGTAGACGATCAATCATAGATTGAGGAAGGCCATAGAGTAATGAATTACAACTATCTAATTTATAGGAAATAAAAGCAATAACTAAGATTTCAGTGTCTTTTTGTGAGAGACTGTCTCTTATTTTTCGCTATATTCCTAAGAAGACGAGAAAACAAGTTTTACATATGGTTGTG